CCGCTTTTCATATTGACCATATCTCATTAATGCTATTGTAATGAAACTAAGCTAATCCAGAATTTAGTGCTTTGTGAATAATTATCAAACAAATAACAGTCAAATTAAACATATGAAAGTTGTGCAACATTATCAAACGGTGCCTCCACATTAATTTCCTTAAAAAGGGCCCCTTATCAAATTTTGGAAGTGTTCCTGTCATATATCTGTTTAAGTAATTCATAACTGTGGGACTCATCTGATATTTAATTTTCTTCTCTTGTTGCACCGATGCCTACTTCTGGATGTTAGGAAAGGAAAGCTGAATGTGGTAATTGTTCCAAGCCATGATTTCTATTTTCTAGTGCAGAAGGCAGTCTCCCTTTGTTTGCATAATCCAGGTGTCTTGTTATATTTTCTAATGTATGGACATCACACTGCCCTATAATGAGATGCCACCATAGTGGAAACGGTAGCCTGATGGATAAAAGGTTCAAAAGCAGCACAATTGTATCCCATATGAAATATTACGTGCAGATATTGTTTGCGGTAAGTATCAATAGTCAATCTCTCCCCTAATTTTTTTTTTTTTTTTCTGAATTTCGCATCCGTGTCAGTGTCATTCTTCTTGGGTTGATTTTGTTGTGTGACGATATTTAGTGGCTCAGACCATGAAATCTAATCTACTTTATCTACCGTTTTTTTCTTGTTAGATGAGTGAACTTGAGAGAAGAACACTGACCTATACTTTTTTTTTTCTTTTTTGGCCAATCAATTCATTTTCATTGTTCACCAAATCCAAAATTACACTTACTTTTATATAATAATCTTTCCATTAATGTGTACATGACGAGGAGGCTATGAAGTAATATAAATATTTGAAAGGGTAAAGAAATGCACGGTTGAAGTTTGGGTTTTTATTATAAAAATTTTTGAAGAACTAAAATTGCTTAAAATTAGGAATAATTGTAAGAAAACTTTAAAGTTGTACATGTTAAAATTGAGTTAGAATCCCTTCTTATTAAGCTTATTGGATTTAGACCTATACTAATAGTTTTCGCTACGTATTTTAAAACTAACAAAAATGATCGCAAGAATTGAATTTTATGCACACGTTTCAAAGTCTTAAACTAATAAAATCAATCTCTTTATTAAATCTAAATCACCCATTAATAAGACCCCACACAATTAAATTTTAACAAATCTATCATTGACTAATTAGTTATTTCTTCTTTAATTTTAATTGTCTTTTTTTAAATTTAACTTATTTAAATCTAATTATTTAGTTTTTTATTTTAAGATGATGCTTAATATATTTATTTTTAATTTAGATTTATTTTAATAACATAATTACAAAATAAATTACCATATATACATTTATTTAAATAATAATTAATTAAAAATAAAAATAAAATTTTATTAACTAATTATTATATTTTTATTTTAAAAGATACATATACTTCTTAAAGTTGAACTGGAATTATTTCGGTGCCATCCAAAGCACGATGGAAAACCTCTTACCTTACGTTTTTTTGTTTTTCACAAAGTTCTCACCTTTTGTCACATCATCATTCTTTCTGATATATTTTTTAAAAAACAAAACTTTTCATGAGGGTGATTTGAATTATTGACGAGACATATAATTTTTATCATTATTATAAAAATATCATCACACTAATTTTAATT